TTATTTTATTCTGCCTACTCTATCACAGACCATCTATTTACCACTCTTTCTACCCACCAGTCTGTCTACAAAGTAAATTGCAGATATCAGTACACCTTTCTCAGCATGCAGTTCATTAACTAGACAGACTTCAGTATGTTTACAGATTTTTCTTTTGTTGTAAGATTTACCTACTGTATATTTAGTGAGTATTGACAAATGCTTATGTGTGTGTAACTCTAGTCCCCACTGAGATGACAGAACATTACTGTCACCCCAGAAAATTTCCTAATGCCCCACACCATTCAGTACTCACCCTGTCTGTGGGCATCCAGTGTTCTTTTTCCAACATAGAATACTTTTTGCAGAACTTAATATAGATGGAATTATACAGTATGTATTCTTTTGTTCAAGGTTCCTTTTACTTACCATGTTTTGTGACCTGTACACATTGTTGTTTGTATTAGTAGTTCATTGCTTTTTATTACTGAGTAGTAATCCATGGTATGTATTTACAATCCTTTAAAAAATTTTTTTTATCTTTATTTATCTTTGAGAAAGAGAATATGAGCAGGGGAAGGGCAGAGAGAGAGGGAGACACAGAATCCAAAGCAGGCTCCAGGCTCTGAACTGTCAGCATAGAGTCTGGTGTGGGGCTCGAACTCACAAACTGTGAGATCATGACCTGAGCCAAAGTCAGATGCTTAACCGACTGAGCCACCCAGCTGCCCCACCACCTTTTTTTTTTTTTTTTTTTAAAGTTCTTAGTTTGGGCAATTTTAGCCATAGGACGAGTATAAATTCAAAGCCCAAATCTATTTGAAGACAGTCTCAAGGTTATGAATTCACTTGGAGGTTCTTTTATACCCCGTGTCTAATCTATAACAAATGAGTTTCTCTGCTAGTGCACTGCTTTTTTCCTGGCTATCCTTTCATTGAGGGATAGGTAGCCCATTGAGGAATGCCGTGTTAAGGGGGAAGTCTCTGTTTCAACCCTCTTTTATTTATTGCTTGACTGTCTGTCCCTGGCTGGATTTTAAGCCTTGACCTTTGGATGTCAAGAGTGGCCGTGCACCACAGAGCCACGGTCTTAGTTCACCTGCTATAACAAATTCTTGACTGGTGGCTTAAACGATGGACATTTATTTCTCACAGTTTTGGAGGGTGGAAGTCCAGCATCAAGGTGCCAGTAGATTCAGTGTCTGGTGAGGGCTTGCTTCCTGGTTTGCAGATGGCTGTCCTCCTGTTGTATCTTATGTAGTGGAGAGAGAGAATGAACACTCTCATATCTTTTATAAGGACCCTGACCTCATTCATGAGGCCTCTTCTTTCATGACCCAATTACCTCCCAAAGACCCCACCTCCTAATATTATCACAGTGGAGTTAGAGCTTCAACAAATGAAGTTTGGGGCAGACGCAAGCATTCAGTCTATAGCAGCCACCAAGTGGGTCATTGCCCTGTGGCCAGTGCCCTGTTCCTTTTTTAGTCCCTGGAGTTATTTTCCTTTCCATTGGTCCTACCTGTGCTATGCATTTGAATGGATGTTTGTGTTATGTTATCCAACACATAGAGGTCTTTTGTGGCAGGAAGGTTTTAAAATTTTTCTAGTCCTCCATGTTGCCAGAAATGGAAGTCTAAAAGACTAAAAATGGTGGTTTTCACATGAAAAGATGCTCAATATCACTCATCCTCAGGGAAATGCAAATCAAACCACAATGAGATACCACCTCACACCTGTCAGAATGGCTAAATTAACAACTCAGGAAACAGATGTTGGCAGGGATGTGTTGAAAGGGGAACACTTGTGCATTGTTGGTGGGGATGCAAACTGGTGCAGCCATGCTGGAAAAGAGTATAGAGGTTCCTCAAAAAGTTAAAAATAGAACTACCCTATGACCCAGCAATTGCACTACTAGGTATTTATCCAAAGAATAAAAAAATATATAAATTCAAAGAGCAACATGCATCCCAGTGTTTTTAGCAGCATTATCAACAATAGCCAAATTATGGAAAGAGCCTAAATGTCCATGGACCGATGAATGGATAAAGAAGATGTGAGACACACACAATGGTATATTACTTGGCAATCAAAAAGAATGAAATTTTGCCATTTACAACAACATGGATGGAACTATAGAGTGTATTATGCCAAGTGAAGTAAGTCCATCAGAGACAGACAAATAGATGATTTCATTCATATCTAGAATTTTTTTTTTTAATTTTTATTTATTTCTAGGAGAGAGAGAGATAGACAGCGTGAGCAGGGGAGGGTCAGAGAGAGAAGGAGTCACAGACTGAAACAGGCTCCAGGCTCTGAGCTGGCAGTCAGCACAGAGCCCGACGCGGGGCTGGAACCCACGAACCGCGAGATCATGACCTAAGCGAAAGTCGGACGCTTAACCGACTAAGCCACCCAGGCGCCCCCATATCTAGAATTTAAGAAACAAAACAGATGAACATAGGGGAAGGTAAGGAAAATAAAATAAGATAAAAACAGAGAGGGAGGCAAACCATAAGAGATTTGTTTTCCCCATATTTTTAATGTTTATTCATTTTTTTGAGAGACAGAACAGAAGTGGGGGATGGGCAGAGAGAGGGAAACAGAACTGAAGCAGGCTCCAGTCTCTGAGCTGTCAGCACAGAGCCCAACTTGGGGCTCAAACCCATGTACCTTGAGATCACGACCTGAACTGAAGTAGGACACTTAGCCAACTGAGCCACCCAGGCACCCCAAGAGACTCTAAAATATAGACAACAAACTGAGGAGCTAGAGGGAAGGTGTTTGGGGGGGGGGGAGGGTGGGCTAAATGGGTGATGGGCATTAAAGAGGGCACTTGTTGGGATGAGCACTGGGTGTTATATGTAAATTTTCCTGAAACCAATACTAAACTATATATTAACCAGAATAAAAAAAAGTAAAGCTGGAAAATTAGGAATATCAGTAAGAGCTTTGAATGCAAGGGTGAGAATTCTATGGTTAATTTTGTAGACAGGGTTCAGTTATACAGGGCCACACAAACCTTGTAGGTATAGAGTTTTTTGAATGAAGAAATTATATGACTAAGTATGAACTCTCAGAAGATTATCTGGCATCCTATATGTTGGATGTCTAGGAGGCAAGGAGACTTGTTAGAAGGTTTCTGTAAAAGTCCAGACAAGAAGCAGTAAAAGTCTTTATTAGAAGAATGTCAGTGGGCATGGAAAGGAGTGGGTGAATCCAAAAATACAGTCTGACTTGGTAAATGACTAGTTTTAGGTTGGAAAAATCAAAGAGGTTGCCAAAGGTGAAGTGGAAAACATTACATTTGTACAGTAGCTAAAGATTTAAGGTTTGTTAACAAAGTTTCTTTCAATTCTGGGTGCTTTTTGGAGTGTTTATCATTTCAGAAAGGGCTTATTAATGTTTAAAATAAATCGGGGGTCCATTTAATCCATGTATTTATGAGTATGACCTTGTTCAGTTCAAACATGCTTATTGAGCATCTGTTATATCCTAAGCAGCCTTCAAGGCACTGAGGCTAAAATGCTGAAGGAAAACAGGCATGATTCCTGCTCCTAAAATCTGTAGTCTTTTGAAATAGGTAATAATAAATTAGTTATTAATTCAATATGATAAATATAAATATAAAGATGCATATTGTGTATTTAATGAGTGTGTACCTATTCGAGACTTGTTAAGTTCTGAAAATACAACAATGAGCAAAACAGAAAAATTTCTACCTTCATGGGAGTTACTGACCCCTCGAAGATAAACATATAAACAAGAGTATTTCAGATGATGATAATTGCTATAAAAATGGAACTAGGCTAAAAATACATATATATTGACAGGCTTACTTTAGGCAGGGAGGCCAGTGAAGGACTTTTTGAAGAGGGAGCAAATTGTGAAAAATATCCAAGGAAGAGCACTCCAGCCAGAGGGAAGAACACGTCCCAAGGTCCTCAGAAGAGAAAGAACATGTCAAGTTCAAGAGACAGAAAAAAAGCCAGCGTGGCAGGAGTCGAATAGGCAAGAGGGGAGAGGTGGCAGGGGCAGGCACGTGGGGGTTCTGTAGGTCATGGGAAGAAGTTTGGTCTTACCCTGAGTGTGTGGAGAGTTTTAGAAGTAACACAGTTTAGTTTACACTTGCAAAAGGATCGCTCTGGCTGCCGTGCTGAGTAGACTCTCGAGGAATAGGGAGAGAAGCGGGGAGGCTCCATTAGGAGGCTGTGGATACACATGTCTGCCCGTATGTATATCTCTTGCCTTTTTATGGCAAAACACAATGTTTCTCCCTTTAGAAAAAGAGAACCTATAACATAAAGACTTTCTCATCACTCATCGTTTTTTGTTCCAATATGGGTCAATAAAACGATCTTTTATTTTTTATTTTATTTTATTTTTCTTAAATAGTTTATTGTCAAGTTGGTTTCCATATAACACCCAGTGCTCATCCCAAGTGCCCTTCCCCTTGCCCATCACCCCCCTTCCCCTCCTCCACCCCCATCAGCCCTAGTTTGTTCTCAGCATTCAAGAGTCTCTCATGGTTTGCCTCCCTCCCTCTCCCCCACTATTTTTCCCCTTCTTCTCCCTCATGGTCCTCCATTAGCTTCCTCCTAATCAAGGGATGCAGGAGTGCTGATGCACAGGGGCACATGGACCCCAATGTTCATAGCAGCACTCTCAACAATAGCCCAAACATGGAAAGAACCTAAGTGTCCATCAACAGACAAATGGATCAAGAAGATGTGGTTCATCTATACGATGGAATACTACATGGCAATGAGAAAAAATGAAATCTGGCCATATGTAGCAACGTGGATGGAACTAGAGGGTGTTATGCTGAGCGAAATAAGTCAGGCAGAGAAGGACAGAGACCATATGTTTGCACATATAGGTGGATTAGGATAAAATGACCTTTTAAAGTAAAAGAAAAAAAATGTGGTTTTCTGTGATTCCACCAAACACATGGTAGAACTTCACATGTTTTTGGAATAATGATTTTTTGCACTAAGATGTTCTCTTATTTTTCTTACAGGGCACAGCTCTGAAGGGGGAAGAAGTGCATTTTTGGACATTCTGAGGATTCACAAGGAAAGCAGACATGTCCTTGGATGACATTAAGATGAAATCTAGCGACTTTTTGGAGCAGGGGCATCTCGACAGCGGGGGCTTCGGGAAGGTGTCTTTGTGTTTACACAGATCCCATGGACTTGTAATCCTGAAAAAGGTGTATACGGGCCCCAAGCGCACCGAGTGAGTTGGGAGCAGAGGTGGGTGGGCCAGATTATGGGCTGGCCGTGGGAAGAGTTACTGTGGAGGAGAAGGGCGAGGCAGCTGATACGCATGACCCAGGCTTTAGAATGAGCCAGACCGTGGTGTGTCAGCTCACGGGCTTTATGTCAGAGAACACTGTGAGCTGGTTATTAATATCCCTGTCTCGCTGATGAGGATTCTGAGGCTGGTTAGCAGAAAGCTCACAGTCAATAAATAATGAAAGACAAAGGGAAGGAAATAAAGAAGGTGAAGGAGATCAAGGGTGATGAGGGAGGCAATGAGAAGAAAATGGGGAGGGGTCAGTGAGATAGACTTAAGTACTTGCTTCACAGTTTTCATGAGGACCATCCCTAAGTCTAGGGAGGGGGGAAAGTAGCCTAGTAGTTAGAAGTTCCAGAAGCCCTCTCTTTAAAGCAGCTGGTGGATTTGTTTCATCTCCCTCTCTTCCTGCTAGAGTGGTTACCAAGAGAGGCTGCTTTTTTTTAAAAAAACTTTTAATGTTTATTTTTGAGAGAGAGAGAGAGAGAAAACGAATGGGGGAAGGGCAGAGAGAGAGATGGAGACACAATCTGAAGCAGGTTTCAGGTTCTGAGATGTCAGCACAGAGCTGATGCAGGGCTCAAACTCATGAACCACAAGATCATGACCTGAGCCCAAGTCAGACGCTTAACTGACTGAGCTAGCCAGGCACCCCAAGAGAGGCAACATTTTTAATTACCCCTTCCAATGCAGCCCTTTTCTCAGGCTACTGTTCCTTGCTGCTCTTCATTTACTTGGTGTTCATTCGGTATCCACCTACCGTTTTTTGAGCACTCACTGCCTGTTACTGGAAAGGAGGAATATGGAGATGACCAGGAAACGCCTCTGCCTCCGCAAGCTTGTAGCCTGGACCCGGAAGGGATCAGTATGTGCACAAGTACCAACACAAGCACATGCCATGTGATGCATTGGAGCCATATACACTGCGTTTCTGGGGGTCACAAGGGACAAGGGCGCTAACCGTGCCCATCTTAACAGCACCTTTCTCTCCCACAGATACAACGAGTCCCTCCTTGAGGAGGGCAGGATGATGCATAGGCTGAGACATAGTCGTGTGGTGAAGCTCCTAGGCGTCATCTTAGAAGAAGGAAACTATTCCCTGGTGATGGAGTACATGGAAAAGGGCAACCTGATGCACGTTCTGAAAGCAGAAGTAAGGAAGGCTTTGCTGCATGCTGCACAGGCACGGCGCTGAGGGGCTGCCTGTCTGTGATGGCTGTCTTCACTGTGTTCTTTTGTAGCTTGTTGGTATCACATTACCCCTGTGTGGGTTGCTAGGTAGTTTGGATTTTCTGAAGTCAGTCCCCTTGTTAAAACATCCTGGACTTGCCCTTCCCAGAAGGTGGTCTTGCCTTCCCATCAGTCCTTGCAGACAGCTGTCTGTACCCCTCACCTGGGGAGGTCCCCCTCATGTCTTAGTCTTGTAGTAGGCTTTTGTCAGCCACCCTGGCATCCACTGATCAGGGACAGGCACTGTCTTCATGAAGCACATGGTCTGATGTGAAGTATATGCCTAATGGGTAACAGCAAACACTGGCTGATTGGTTAAAGGATGTACGCTCGAAAAGACTATATGTGGAGATGGACTATTGATGATGCTCTTTGATACCATTTAAGAAACTTGCAAGCTAAATATAGAACATTGGAGACAACAACACTGGATAAGTAAGACTTAAAATAGGAAAATAAAAATTGATTTATGAAAACCAAATCACTTTGATAAAGCATTTTCTAGACTTTATCTGTTAAAATTTTTTTTAATGTTTCTTTATTTTTGAGAGGGAGACAGAGCATGTGCAGAGGAGGGACAGAGAGAGAGGGAGACACAGAATCCAAAGCAGGCTCCATCCACACTCAGCACAGAGCTGATGCGGGGCCCAGGCCCACAAACCATGATATCATGACCTGAGCTGAAGTCCTATGGTTAACAGACTGAGCCATCCAGGCACCCCATAGAGTAATTTTTAAAGTTTTGTTTTGTTTTGCTTTGTTTTTGTTTGTTTGTTTTTGAGAGAGAGCTCAGGGGAAAGGGGCAGTGGGAGACAGAGAGAGAGAGAGAGAGAGAGAGAGGGAGAGAGAGGGAGAGAAAGAGAGAATCCCAAGCTTCATACTGAGCTTGATCTCATGACTGTCAGATCATGACCTGAGCAGAAATCAAGAGTGGAATGCTTAACTGACTGAGACACCCAGGTGCCCCGAGTTTATCTGCCTATTAGGAGCAAAGCCTTGTGCTAGTTGCTCAGGAGGCAATAGCAAATATGAAACAGACACGAAAGAGGGACAGATAAGGAAGTGAATGGTATAGTGTCATGGTGTTTTGATAGACATCCTCCTAGGGTGCTGTGGGAACACAGAGGGGAGGTAGTCACTTCAGGGTGGGATAAATAGGACAGGATTCCAGAAGGAGCCAAAGCCCAAATGACAAGCAGAGAATTAGGGAATGAATAAGGGTTCCAGGCAGGGACAATGGCATGTGCAAAGGAATGAAGAGTGTGCCAAATTGGGAAACTACAAGTTACTGGATTTGGCCAAAGCATAGATTGCATGAGACAGCAGTGGGATGTGGCTATCTTTGGGCAGATATTTCCCCTTTCCCATTTTCTCTACCCGCCCCCCCCACATCTGCCTGCAGTTATGTCTGTTCTTAAATTCTTTTAAGTCCCAGACATCTCTCACAGATACCTGTGTGAAGGGTAAGAGATGTTCAGTTATACACACTGTGTTGTAATTTGATCAGATTTGTTCTCCCCAAAACTAGGTAAGACCAGCTGCCGCATGGAGTAAATAGCCGTTTTGATTGGGAGGTAAATCTTAAGGGACAAGGCAGCATTCTCCCAGATCAGGCAAAGATAAGGTAGATAAGTTTGGGCTCCAGAAGGAACTCAGAGGAAATGAGGGAGAAAATCGGGAAATGGAATGATAAGGGTCTTTCCTTTGCTTGCTCAGAACTTTTTCCTAAGTCCAAAGGTATATCAAGGAAGAAAGGAAAATCTCCGGCTATTTTTTGTATGCTGGTTATCAGGCTTCTAATTCATCTACATTATGGGTTTTAAATATGGTTTGGGGGGTTGACTTGGGAATCTAACTTCCGTCATTTAAATTTTTTTACTGTTTACCAATAACCAACATATACCTAAACTTTTAGGAAAAAGCCTGTTTGTAAACTAGAGACTGTGCACACATACATGTACACACACATACAAACACAGTTCATGTTTTTCATTGTTAAGCAAAACTAATGTCCTTTTTTATGTTTTATTTATTTTTGAGAAAGAGACAGAGTGTGAGTGAGGGAGGGGCAGAGAGAGAGGGAGACACAGAATCTGAAGCAGGCTCTAGGCTGGGCTGTCAGCAGAGCCCGACGCGGGGCCTGAACCCACAGACTGTGAGATCATGACCTGAACTGAAGTTGGATGCTCAATCTACTGAGCCATCCAGGTGCCCCAAGCAAAACTAATGTTTAACTGCTATGATAGAAATTGGAGTTCTCTGTATTAATGTTGATATTTATACAACTAGAATATAGTCGTAAATAAGAGGGACTTGAGAATTACAAAGACCTGAAATAGCTGATACCAAATCACCAAATAAATATTAAACTCACTTTAGCATTGTTTTAACATCATGTTATCCCATAGATTAGTCTTTACATGTTTGTAATCTGTGTGAACACGTTCTCTTGTATTCTTTTTTCTCAATGTTCATCTACACATTTCTGTGACACTGTTCACCTATTCAATATGTAGTTGCATGTATTAATGTACTATAGAAAAATACTTGTTTTTTTGTTTATTTATTCATCACTCAACAAACATTCCAGGCACCATGCTAGGTAGTCAGGATGCATTCTATAATGATGATGATGATTTGCTCTCAAGGAGCTTAATTTTATAGCATTTTAGTAAATTGCCATATTGGCATGAGAGTTTTATTTTACACGACAGAACACAACATTAATACACTTTGCACCTGGGATGAACTCTTTCTTTAAAAGGAGGTTTCTTTTAAAATGGCAGCAGTGCTGAAGAGCATAATAGAAGGGATCCTGGTAACTGCAGATCATACCCAACTTAACGATAGTTTGACTTATAGATTTTTTGACTTTATGACAGTCAAGAGCAGTAGGCATTCATTGGAAACCATACTTTGAATTTTGAATTGATCTTTTTCTGGGCTAGTGATGCAGTACGATCCTCTCTTATGATGCTGGGCAGTGGCTGCCAGCCGCACCTCCCAGTCAGCTATGTGATCACAAGGTAAACAGCTGATACACTCACAACCATTCAGTCACACAGGCATTTTGTTTCTCACTTGCCGTTTCATATTCAGTCAGTTACATGAGACATCCAACGTTTTATTATAAGATAGGCTTTGTGTTCAAGATTTTTCCCAACGAGGTCTAATACAAGTGTTCTAAGCACATTTAAGATAGGCTAGGCTAACGTATAGGAGGATTAGGAGGAATTTATGGGAGAAGAAGGGGAAAAATAGTGGGGGAGAGGGAGAGAGGCAAACCATGAGAGACTCTTGAATGCTGAGAACAAACTGAGGGCAGATGGGGTGGGGGAGAGGGAAAGGGGGGTGATAGGCATGGAGGAGGGCACTTGTGGGGATGAGCACTGGGTGTTATATGGAAACCAACTTGACAATAAACTATTTAAAAAAAAAAGATAGGCTAGGCTAAGCTATGATGTTCACTAGGTTAAGTTAAATACGTTTTCAGTTTAACAGTATTTTTAACTTATCATGGGTGTGGGACATAACCCCATTGGATGTTGAGGAACACCTGTCTGTCCTAATGTTCAGACCCCAGTACTCTTGAATAAAACAGTTGGTTTGGCCTGTTTGCTTGCCTTTCTGTTTCATAGACTTAATATCACTGTTTTAGATCAGTATCCCCCTTTCTGTAAAAGGAAGGATAATTCTGGAAACCATTGAAGGAATGTGCTACTTACATCGAGAAGGAGTAATACACAAGGACCTAAAGCCTGAAAATATTCTCGTTGATGATGACTTTCACATTAAGGTAAATCATAATCTAAAGGCGTCTACAAGATTGGGGTGATTTTAGTTTTAATTCTCCACTATAAACCCATTTTTGTACATGGTAGACCTTAAAGGAAAACCTCACTAAGCTTATAACTGGTGGCAGTGGTGCTGGAAGGTTTTAATCTATATTTTGTATCAGTTTGGTGTAGTAAAGGGAACAAGGGGAAAGGATTTTCCTTTTGTTCACTCAAGAGCAAGAGTTAACTAGATGGAACATTACATCTAATTGGCTTTGGCAGCAGGAATCCAAGTGCGAGAATCTGAAAGGGGAAGCAGCATTTGGGGGAGAACTCAGGAACTGCTTACACAGGCATCCTTCTACTACAAGATTGTGCTTCTAACACTTCCTTCTAATCTTGGACAGATTTTTAATCCTACGACTTTAAAGGACAGTTCCTTCTTTACATTAATAACTTACTTCTAATGTATATCTTATGTTAGAATCTCTGGATTTTAGATAATCATGGGCCGGAATTCATACCTATAAGCTTGGATTCCTAGAGGCAAAAGTGAAACTGTCACCTTTGATTTCTTCTCCGCATATGGTTCTATAATTTTGTCCTCCCATCTCCCTCTTTGTTCTGTGTCTCACCTTTGTATTTTTCTCTTTGCTTTCTTGTCTGCTTCTCCTCCTTCCCATCCTGTCTTCTCTTGGGTTCAGGCCACCAACTCAAAACAAGTAACACTACCATCCTTTTCCTCAATGTGTCTTTGGAAACCTTAGAATCTCGCATCCGTGGGCTTCGGGACACCATTTGGGAAAATTGAAGGTGCAGTACCTAGTTACCATCTGCTCTACAAATCTGCTGAGAAGAAAATACCTTGTATTCCTAGCCCTAGAAGTAGTTGGAAAAACATATACAGAGTAAATGAGGAATTAAAATAAACATGTTTTACTGTAGTTCATGTCAGAAATGACTTCTGCTTTTCCTCTTCCCTCCCCCTCCCCCAACCCTACTAGTAAATTCACTGGGTTTATTGCATAAGAATTGAGATACCAGAATTTCACATGGACATTTCTTAGGGGAGATTTTCTAGATGGCTGAAGAGACACACCGTTTCTATGAGTCTGTTCAGAATCTAGTGCAACCATTTCAGGAAATTCACTATACCTTGCATCTATTAGATAAGCCCCAAAGTTAAAGACAAGTCTGATTTGCTTATAGCTTTCACAGAACAATCCCCTTGACTTAATCTCTTGCAGATAGCTGACCTTGGCGTGGCTTCTTTTAAGACGTGGAGTAAACTGACTAAAGAAGAAATTAATGAGCAGAGGAAAATGAATAATAGTGCCCCTAAGAAAAATGGTGGAACCCTCTGCTACATGGCCCCTGAGCATCTGAATGACATCAACGCAAAGCCCTCGGAGAAGTCAGATGTGTACAGCTTTGGCATAGTACTTTGGGCAATATTTGCGAATAAGGAGCCATATGAAAGTAAGACATTTATAGAGCAGTGGAATCTGTATGTTAATCAAAACTGCTGAGAGAAATAGTGGCCTTCAATGAAGTCAGTTAAGATTTATAATGTCTTTTTACCCACTAGACTGTAAGCTAGTCCCACAAGGGCTGGGACCATCTCTAATTGATTCAGTGCTATTTCCCCAGTCTCTATATACACAGAGTCTGAAAACACAGTAAGTGTTCAATACATTTTTGTTGAATGAATGTTTAATCTCAGTTTAGGAATCAGAGATCACAGGAAAAGTAGGAGCCTTGATGATGTACCTTGGGAGGTATTGTAGAATTCCAGGATTCTTCCTGGATGGGAAAGCTTCCTTGCTTCTGCTTAGGAGACATCCTTTCATTCATTCACTTGCTCCTTCACTCAAGAATTCCTTTTTTGGGGGGTACCTGAGTGGTTCAGTTGTTAAGCTTCTGACTCTGGAGACTCTAGATCTCAGGTCATGATCTCATGGTTCGTGAGATCTAGCTCTGTGTCAGGGCTCTGTGCTGTTAGGGATCCCTCCCTGGGATTCTCTCTCCCTCTCTCTCTGCTTACACATATCAGAGGAACCCCAAAGCAACATGCCCTCAAACAGATTGATCTTCTACTTGTTCTCTGTGTAGTCCTCTTGACTCTGCTCTTCTCATGTTCAGAAAATGGCATCACCCTCCCCCCACCCCTGCACCCTACCTAGTTGCCAAGCCAGAAACCTTCCATGTCTAAGTCTTAGCTTTGCCTCTTGTCTCCTACATGCAATCAGACATTTAAGCCCATGAACTCAAGGTATATATGTGATTTAGGCTACATCTTGAATCCATCTGCTTCTCTGTATCCCCACCAGACTCTATGTAGTTCAGACTCTCCATATTTCCGCTGACAGCTGCTCATGCCATTCCCTGTTCACACTGCAGCCATGTTGGTCATCCTAAAAGGCAAGTATGACCATCTCACTCATCTTTTTGAAATCTTTCCAAGGCTTACTGGACTTCCAGTCTATTCATATCCCGCTTCCCTGGCCTGGAATCCTCCTTTCTGAGTCCTGCTTCCTGATTCTTTACGTGGGTAAATCCAGCTTATTTTTCTGGACTCGGCAAAGACTTCTCTGACCCTCTAGTCATGGTTGTATTAGCAGAAACTTTTGTACTTACTTTTTGAATAGCAATTACCACTCTGTTTTACGTCACTTTCAATAAACTGAGCTCCTTATGGGTAAGAGCTGTACCTTATTTGTCTTTATGGTAAAATCTGGAGTATGCCATTGGTTTTAGTCACATATTCTATTTGTTCTATCAAGATGCCTCTTTGGTGTGAATTTTATCTTTCATCTGCAGAGGTTAAGATGTCGTTTGATCATCTGGGCAGTGGGCCATGTCAGAGGGTGATTCTGCCTCTCAGGGATGAGGCAGTCCTACTAAAAACACACCACAGGCAGAGAGATATTAGCAGCCTGTCCGAACTCTGCTGTCTTCCTGCCAGAGACACTTAGGACCTGAGAAAAAATCAAGTTAAATCCTCTTTGTTTTATAGATGCTATCTGTGAGCAGCAGTTGATAATCTGCATTAAATCTGGGAACAGACCAAATGTGGAAGACATCATTGAGTACTGCCCAGAGGAGATTATCAGCATCATGAAGCAATGCTGGGAGGCAGATCCAGAAGTTCGGCCAACATTTGCTGGTGAGAGCAGTTTTCAAGGCTAAGTACATCGCCTGAGGCAATTGTCCTAGTGTGACGTCATCAAGAAGTTGCTTTAAGTTTTCAAAAAGCTGAGCTCCACTTGTGATTTCAAATTGCTTTTCTAGATTTCAAACATTTTGTTCACTGAAAAAGATACCATCCCTCTCAAAAGCATGAAGATATATAAGGCCCATTTATTTCTTTATTTTCATAGACCTTTTAAAAAATTGCGTTAAAATATATGTAACACACAATTTAGCATTTTAACCTTCTTTAACTGTACAGCTCAGTGGCATTAAGTACTCTCACATTGTTGTTACAACTATCACCACAGTCCATCTCCAAAACTCTTTCATCTTCCCAAAGCGAAGCTCTGTACTCATTAAATACCAATGTCCCATTCTCCTTCCCCCAGCTCTTGGTAACCAACCATTCTCACTTTCCGTCTCTTGGAATTTGACCTCTCTGGGTACTTCATATAAGTGGAATCGTACAGTATCTTTCTGTGCCTGGCTTCTTTCAGCATAATATCTTTAAGGTTCTTCCATGTTGTAGCATGTGTCAGAATCTCCTTCCTTTTTCTTGCTGAATCGTTGTGTATATACCACATTTTCTTTATCCATTCATCTGTTGGTGGATACCTGGGTTGCTCCTACTGGCCTTGTTATTTTGTAGATTTTTTTTCTTTCTTCTTCCTCTCCTTGTGTAGCTGACATCTTTGGAGATGTATGTTGTCATTTAGATTGAGCCTGTAGTAGAGGGAGAGGGCAAGGGACATGGATGGTTGCCACATCCTTGTATCTCCCCCAGACCAGGTTACCTAGGATCTTAGGCAAAGGAAAAATGGAAATCAGAGGAAAGAAAATCAAATGAGGACAAAATAAATAGTAGGAAGTCACTTAGGAGCCAATAAAGCATTTTGCCATCATATTTCTGCTATGAGGAAAAAGAATTAAAGCCCCACCTACCACTACTACCAAGCATTAGAGTGGTACTTTGATTTACTTGATTGTTTTCTTATTCTCTTAGTCAGACTGAATTTTCTCCTGGCTTGATCTCTTCTCTTCTTCCGTGGCTTTTTCATTTTTTTTTTTTAAATTAAATTTCTTGGGGTGTCTGGGTGGCTCATTCTTTTAAGTGTCCGACTCTTGACTTCGGCTCAGGTTGTGATCTCACAGTTTGTGGGTTCGAACTCAGCATTAACAGTGTGGAGCCTGCTTGGGATTCTCTCTCTCTCCCTCTCTCTCTCTCTGCCCCTCCTCCACTCTCTTCAAAATAAATGAATAAACTTTAAAAAATGAAAATTAAATTAAATTTCTTATTTTGAGATCATTGTAGATTTGTATGTAGTTGTAAGAAAAAGACAAAGGGTGCCTGGCTGGCTCAGTTGGTAGAGCGTGCGACTCTTGATCTCAGTTTTGTAAGTTCAAGCCCCATGTTGGATGTAGAGATGACTTAAAAATCTTTTCTTTTTTTAATGTTTATTTTTGAGAGAGACAGAGCAAAAGAGAGAGAGAAAAGAGAGAAAACACAATTGGGGGAGGGGCAGAGAGAGGAGAACAGAGGATCTGAAATGGGCTCTGGTCTTGACAGGAATGAACCTAATGTGGGGCTCAAACTCATGAACTGAACCATGAGATCATGATCTGAGCTGAAGTTGGATGCTCAACCTAATGAGCCACCCAGGTGCCCCTACTTAACAATCTTAGAAAGAAGGAAAGAAAGAAAGAAAGAAAGAAAGAAAGAAAGAAAGAAAGAAAGAAAGAAAGAAAGAAAGAAAGAAAGAAAGAGGAAGGAAAGGAAAGGAAAGGAAAGGAAAGGAAAGGAAAGGAAAGGAAAGGAAAGGAAAGGAAGAAGAACGGAAGGAAGAACGGAAGGAAGGAAGGAAGGAAGGAAAGAGAAAGAAAGAAGAAAGAAAGAACACAGAAATATCTCTTGTATCTTTTACCTAGTTTACCAAGTGATGGCATCTGGCCAAACTATATATAGTATAGTATCGCAACTGGGATACTGACATTGGTACAATCAGATATGAAACATCTCCATCACCATAAGGGCCCCTTATGTTGCCCCCTTATAGCCATCCCCACTCTCTTCTCCATGCCCACCCTCCTCCTTCACCCTCTGGTGATCACAAATCTGTTCTCTGTTTCTTTTCTTTTTTTTTTTTTTGTCATTTCACAAATGTTATGTGAATAGAATCATAAACTACTTTTTGGGAACCCTTTGGGATTGGCATTTTGCCACTCAGTATAATTCCCTACTGCATCCAGGTGGTTGTGTGAATCAATGATTTGTTCCCTTTAGTTGCTGAGTAGTATTCTACGGTGTGGATATACCACAGTTTGTTTATTGGCTCCTCAAAGGAAATCTGGTTTGCTCCCAGTTTTTGGCTGTTATAACTAACACTGCTATAAATATTCATGTTACAAATTTTTATGTGGACATAAGTTTTTATTTCTCTGCAATAAATACCCAGGAGTTAGACAGTTAAGTTGTATGGTAGTTTCATGATTGCCTTTTTGTGGGTTCTTAAATGGCTAAGGATATTGAATATCTTTTGATGTGTTTGTTTGCATCCGTGTACCTGCTTTGGTGAAATGTTGCTTTATATCTTTTGCCCATTTTCTAATTTGATTGCTTTGTTTTTTACTGTTGAATTTTTTTTTTAATTTTATTTATTTAAAAAAATTTTTTTAATGCTTTATTTATTTCTAGGAGAGAGAGAGAGAGACAATGTGAGCAGGGGAGGGTCAGAGAGAGAGGGAGTCACAGACTGAAACAGGCTCCAGGCTCTGAGCTGGCAGTCAGCACAGAGCCCGACGCGGGGCTCAAACCCACGAACCGGGAGATCATGACCTAAGCGAAAGTCGGACGCTTAACCGACTAAGCCACCCAGGCGCCCCTTTTACTGTTGAATTTTGAGTGTTCTTTGTTATATATAGTATTTCTTCACTGGATACATGGTTTGCAAATATTTTCTTCCAATATATAAGGTTTTTTTTTATCGTCTTAGCAGTGTCTTTCATAGAATAAAAGTTATTGAAGTCTATTTTAATAATTTTTCCTTTTTTTTTTTTAAATATTTTTATTTATTTCTAAGAGAGAGAGAGAGAGACAGCGTGAGCAGGGGAGGGTCAGAGAGAGAGGGAGATACAGACTTTGAAATAGGCTCCAGGCTCTGAGCTGGCAGTCAGCACAGAGCCCGATGCGGGGCTCGAACCCACGAACCGCGAGATCATGACCTAAGCGAAAGTCGGACGCTTAACCCGCTACGCCACCCAGGCGCCCCTAATAATTTTTCCTTTTATGGATTATACTTTTGATGTCAAGCCTAAGAACACTGTTAGTGTTACATCTCAAAGATTTTCTCATATGTTTTGTTCTAAAATTCTACATTTTTACATTTGAGCTAAGTATATTTTGATTCTATAATTGTCAAGGAAAATTTTTAATTGCTAACCAAAGAACAGTAGCACAGAACTAAATATTTGGTTGTCCTTGCCAGTTTTCAGTTTATAGTTTATTGGAAAAATACCACAGTCTGTTTTTAGTTAATTTTTGTATAAGGTACATGGTTTAGGTTGGAGGTTTGTTTTTTGCTTATGAATATCCACTTGTTCAAGCACCACTTGTTTGAAAGTCTGTCTTTCCTCCATTGAATGGCTGTTTCTTCTTTGGCAGAAATCAATTGGGATATTTGTATGGGTCTATTTTGGGTTTCTCTGTTCTGACCTATCTACCCCTCTGCCAATACTCACAGTCTTAATTAATATAGTGATATGTCTTAAAATTGAGTAGATTGATTCCTACCACTTTTTTTCTTTATTTAAAAAATTCTTTTAGCTCCTGTAGTTTCTTTGGCTTCCTGTATAAAATTTAGAAAAATCTTGTCTGTACCGACCAAAAAAAAAATCTAACTGGGATTTTGATACAAATTGTGTTAAATCAGTATATCCGTTTAGGGAGAATGGAGGTCTTTACTATATCAAGTCTTCTAATCCACAAACATAATATGTCTCTTCATTTATTTATATCTTCTTAGATTTATTTTATCAGGGCTGTATAGTTTTCAGCAAACAAGTTCTATATATTTCTCTTTTTTGGGCAATTGTAAGTAGTTTGTATTTTAAAGTTAGATGTCCATTTGTTCATTGCTAGAATATAGAAATATAGTTGAGTTTTTTGGTATGTCAATCTTGTATCTTATGACTTTATTGAGCTCACTTATTAATTCTAGGAATTTTTTAGATCTTTTAAAGATTTTATGTCATCTCCAAATAGGGACAGTTTTATTTCTTTCTTTCTGATCAGTATGACTTTTATCTCTTTTTCTTACTTTATCATATTGTTTAGAATTTCTAGTGTTATCTTAAATAAGAGCAGTGAGAGCAGACATCCTCATCTTTTCTCAGTATTAGGGGAAAGCATTGAGACTTTCACTATGAAGTATAATGTAGGTATTTGGTAGATACTCTTTATCACTTGAGGAAGTTCACCATATTCTTATTTTTCTGAGAATTTATCATGAATGGGTTTTGAATTTTGTCAACTGCTTTTTCTAAATTGATTCATAGGGTCATAATTTCCCTTCTTTAAACTGTTAGTATGGGGAATTACACTGATTGATTTTTGAGTACTGAACTGGCTTTGCATCCCAGGAATAAAACCTATTTAGTAACAATGTATGATTCTTTGTATTTATTACCAAATTCCATTTGTAATATTTTGTTAAGATTTTTGCATGTGTATTCTTAAAGATATTGGTCTATAGCTTTCTGGTTTTTGTATTATCTTTGTTTAAAAAACTTTTTTAAAATTTATTTATTTTGAGAGAGAGCACAAGTAGAGGAGGGGCAGAGAGAAGGAGAGACAGATTCCCAAGTAGGCTCCACACCATCAATGCAGAACCCCATATGGTTCTTGGTCTCATGAACTATGAGATCATGACCTGAGCTGAGAACAAGAGTTTGATGCTTACCTGACTGTGCCACCTAAGT